TTCTGCAGAACATAGATTGCGAAGGTACTTGTCCTTATCTCCCTGCCAAAGATATTTGAGGCACCTTTAGCTTCCTTGTTAAAAGCCAAGACCTTGGCTCCCTTTGCAGCTGAAGCATAATTGTATTCAGCACCACCAGGGCTCCACTCTGTGTTTTATGCCTCCAGCCTCACCATTTCCCGATTTAGTTTTGGAATTAAATGTTTCGCTCTTGAACTCATCAAGACCAAGTGGCACAGCACGAGGTAGGCGGCCATCCATTTTCAAGTTTCACACCTGAACCAGAGCTCTCCACCTCAGGTTGCTCACTAACAGCCGAGTCAAAAAAATATATTTCCTTCAGCTGAGGCACATTGTCTACTTCCTTCACTAGCAAAGAATTCATCATTTAAACCACTGGTTTCAACACCATTTGCGCGCACACCTCCAGAATAGTAGACCAAATCAGTTTCTTTTTGTATATCTACAGAATCAGAGTGTTCATCCCGGTCCGGCTTAGCTTTGTCCCAAGTTGATTTACCAACTGGAGATACAGTGGATCCATCTAACAGAAAGAAGAGACAAAATAGCTCATAACAAGCAGCATGCAGGAGTAAATCATAAAAATCACAATAAAAGTGAAAAAAGATAAAAGAAAAAGAAGAAATAAGATGAATGTAAAAAGCGAAATTAATGAGTGTTTCATCAAAGAATTCACTTGTTTGCAAGGGGAGACACACAGTCAACTTATCGAGAGATTTTCAGCTGAAATTTCGCTCAGGATATCTCAGAGCATGCTAACACTACAAACCATCTTAATCTCAGGGAAGTTTCATGAAATTGCAGAAACCTTCCAGACGATTTCCTTGCTTGGGCACGAATTTTGGCCTTGCACTGAAAATACTTCAGGTGCTTCTCTACTAAGCACCCCTATTGTGCCTTTACACAAGAGTTGACTGCCTCTTGGGTTTCCTAATTTTTAAAGCCTTAAGCTCTCTCCCCCTTTTTGTTCTTTCAACCAATGTCAGATGGTAAATAAAAGGTTGAAATTTCCAGTTTCCAAGCCTCCCCGGCCAACTAAACAACTCTCAATAATATAACCTGCAATGATTTCGGTCTTCAACACTTGGGAACCCAATCAATTTTCCCAGTCTTTAAAATTTCCCAAAGCCCAACCCTGAGCACCAGCAGCGTTAGTCGTCCATCATCAATTTTTTGTGATTCTACCCAAGTACCATGCCAATGCACCATCTCTTCGTGATTCTTTTTCTGTTGAGTAAAAGCGTATCAATGTTTTTTTTTAAAATGGGAAATTAAATTTTGAAAAGCTTTCGCAAGTATTTTGTCATGAGTGGAGTGAGCTGGAATCGCATGCATATCCTCAGTTTTGTTTGCTGTGCTGGTAGTGTTGTGTTTGTGACCGAGGATTTCTTATCCTCAGTTTCCGTTCAAAAAAAAAAAAAAAAAATTAAGCACTTTAAATGAACAATCAATCAAAAAAGTAACATTGAACCAAATCCATAATCGGAAAAAGCAAATGAACCAAGCTAAATAGTACTGCTTAAAACAATTATCATAAGCAAACGTATTTCAACCAAATTGAAATAATTTAAACCAGCACAGCTACACAAGGATAACGCATACAATAAAGTAATCAACAAAGGACACAGAACGCCCAAAAGCAAAATCAAGCACCTTTTAAAACAGATATCAAAATATGAACAAAATAAGCTAAATTCACACATGGGCATCTTGCAATTTGAACAACGTACCAACAATTTGAGCTTCAAAGATGCTACGAACTCAGGGTTGGTTCGCGCTTACTTACAGAAGACGAAGGAGGAGGTGGGTCAAGAGCAGATATCTCATCCAAAGCAGCTCTCAACTGGACCATCCCTTTGGTGGATTATATAATGCCCACACCAAAAAAGACCCAAAACGTCCGAATGGAAAATCAAGCACCTTTAAAAATACATATCAAAATATGAACAAAATAAGCTAAATTCAAACATGGGCAATTTGCAATTTGAACAACGTACCAATAATTTGAGCTTCAAATACGAGATCAGGGTTGGGTAGGTTTGCCCTTACCCAGAAGACGAAGGAGTTGGGTCGAGACCTCGAACAAAGCAGTTCTAGCGCGGGGCCAAGCCCAGGACCTCAAACAAAAGGATTTTACATAGCGAAATTTAGTGAAAACCCCAAAGGAAACAAGCAACTTTCAAAAATACCCAAAATATTTTCAAAATGGCACGAAAGCCCCTTATATTAAAAAACAAATAAATATATTAGTAATAGGTTCTACTTTGTTGTAAAAATGACCTCATCAAATGATTTGGGTAAAAAGAAAGAAAATGAAAAACTAATTATAATGCTTGATTCAACTCGTTCACGTTATTATAATATGAATGGATGATATAGTTAAGATTTCTCATTTTTAGAATATAATATTGATAAAAAATCACTTATAGTATAATACGTGAACGAGTTATACGACATGACCATACTCCAATACCACACTATAATTACTCATCTAATCATCAAAACTCGCCAACCGAGGTCTAGTCTAGTAAAAAAGAGCATTGATTTGTAGACTATAGTGGTCTCAAACCCTCATGGCACTGTGGTAGTGTATGTGTGAGAAAATTCCATTGCCCTTATAGTTTACACGATCACTTGTACTAAAAAAAACCATCAAAACCATCGAAATCCACTAACCCTATGTTCATCTTCTTCTCAACTCAAACCACCACACACCCATCCATGAAAAAATTCCACGAATCAGGAACAAGGAAAACTCGATTAGCTAGGTTTGACTTTTGGTGAAACTAGGTTTTGAAAGATCTATCTAACTATTTTCGAGATATGTAATCTCTTATTTGTAATAACATCTCTCCTTCTTATTTATTGCGTGAAATTGAATTAAAACAGTAAAATCTCACTTGCAATGGTGTGTTCATTGTAATAGATGCAATTGCAATACAGGATGCTCAATGATGAACCCTCTATTGAATTGCAATATACTATCTATGAGACTCACATGCCAATAAACTGTATTATTTCAAGTCAAACTGTAGTTCAATTCAATAGATGCTAAAATAGTACTAGGTTCCAAAGATGATCCATCTCCCGTGCACAACAATGGTGGAGCCACTATTATGTTAAAAGGTGGGGTGGACCAAAGTATGAATTCCTTGCTATTAATTTCTTAATTTAATTTGCTTGAAGGTCTTGTCTACCTTGACACCAACAGACCCATCTATTAATTTCGAAAAACTATAATATAGCCATATAGATATCCAACTTTTTGCCTACAAAAATATTAAAGAGAAATGGAGTCCACCTAGCTTCAACACATGATTTTTTTTCTTTCTTTGTTACACTACACTCGATTGCACTTAAGAATTACTCCTACATGGGATAACCCCATTTCTCTAAACGTAGAGTTAGCAGAGGAATTCGAACATAGAATCTCAGATGCAGAATTAACTGTTCTTAACTACTTAAGCTATATTGCAGTTTGTCCCCATCTTATAGTTGTCTTGGTTGGCTTTTTTAAAATTTATTTAAATCCTCCAAAGT